TTTTTGTTGTTTTTGTTGTTTTTGTTGTTTTTGTTGTTTTTGTTGTTATTATTTCTCAAGTGAATATATTGGAAGATAATATAGAAGAACTCCAGTTAAAACATTCCAGTGCTGTTCCTGTGTTTTGGCAGAATGATTTTAATTGTAGATTATTTGAATTGTAGTTCAAATATTTGAGTGTTATATAATTATTTTACAGCTTCATATCCATGTGCTCTTAGTAGCCATTATTAGTTTAAAGAAAAGGATATCAGCTTTGGATTCCTACCCAGTTACAATACACTAAACCTTCTAATTCTGAGTTGGATAATGGATGGGGATTAAAAAGGAAGAGGCAGATTAGATGATTAGATTAAGATATCAAACAGCTAAATAGCTGAAAAACATAATTCCAATAATGATAATTTTTATTGCATAGCCTATTTACTTATTTACCTACTAATACCTTTCCCAATCAAATGTAAATTAAATTGCAGAATGATTATTTAAATTATTAGTGGCTCAATTCTAAGTCATTACAATCAAAGTTGTTTAATTTTATTATGCTTTGTTTCTGAACAAGTTCAAATGTTAAATATATTTATTAGTAAGTTTATATTATAGTATTGATACATTTTCAATGCTTACATATTATTGAGTGATATTCTTAAATTAAGTTGCATTGTGCTTTGATTTTCTGTAAGTTGGAAAGTGATATATAAATATTATATTACTAGTATTGGTATTTCTAATAATTATAATGGCAAATAATTAAATTCACTGTAAATTATTATTTGCTACATGAGGAGATAAAAGAATTGTAAGTTTTAGATTATTATCTACACAAATATTAATTAGTTGAAGAAATTCCACTGGCAAACTGTATATTTAGTCATTCTTTTCTTGTAATTTATGGTATTGGGAAATTCTAGTGTGGTTCTTATGGATAGTTTTAATTAAAATGTGTATATCTTTTTCAGATTTATTAAAATAATATCTGAACAAAGAAATATCATAATTTAATTAAAATGTACATATGGAAAATGTAATTAAAATTCAAAATAATGTGAGCTATTTTCAAACTAAACAAATTATTGTAATGGATTTTAAAGAAATATAAAAAGCATAATCAAGGGCTTTGATTTATAGATAGTCCTCATTCAGCAACTACCTCACGTAATAACCAATTGCAGTTATGATGATGATGGTGATGAAAAAGTAAGTTTATGGCCAATCCTTGCAATTATGACCTTTACAGGTCTCTAACACAAAGGAAAATTAAAATAATTGCTTTGCTTAACAACCAATTTGCCAGTCCAAATTATGGTAACTAAACGAGGACTACCAATATATGTGTTTAAAATATTTGTAGATGTCATATGATTCTGATTGATTTATCTATATTCTATAACTTATCAGTATGAATAGGAAAGATGTACATAAGTAGAGCTATCCTACCAGATATTTCATTTTGTCTTGTAGGAAGACCTGCATGCATTTGTACACTGGGGTTTACAGGTCCAAATTGCAATAAAACAGTCTGCGATCATTTTTGTCAGAATGGAGGAACTTGCAGTATCACTGCTGGAAATCAGCCCCACTGTCGATGCCAACCGGAACATACAGGGGACAGATGTCAAGATTGTAAGTGCAGAATAACTGGAGTATAATTAACAAAAATCAGAATGGAATTGCTATTTTTCAGTTTTTAAAGGCAATCATTTGGCAAAGTACTGTACATCCAGAACAAAACTATATAATTAAGTGTAAAATCACAATAAAAGTTCCTTTTATCAGACAAATATAATAACAAAACAGGCATGACATATTTTATTAATATATTTTTATTTATCATGATGGTGTGTGTGTGTGTGTGTGTGTGTGTGTGTGTGTGTGTGTAAAAATTGCTTTTATTTTAAGCTGTATTTTGAACCCCTAGAACTACTGAAACTTGTATGGAGAAAACACTCTTTAACTTTTGAAAAGGAATAAGAAAACATTAAATTACTAAAATGGTCCAAACATTTTAGAACCAGTTCTTATATAGTATATCTGTAGCTTTCCTTCTGTCTGCAAAACTATCTTCTCTTTTACAAAGACAAATCGTGAGAGGAGGGATTAGACAGGGAAGCAAACCCTAACCTTCTTATTGGCCATTATATACAATAATGTCTACCTCATAAAATACAAGATAGTTGCAACATTAACTGCAATAGTGTCTGCTCTAAATAACAACCATAAAACAAGATTACAAGGAGATTGTCAGCTTCTGGAGTGAGTGTGTGTGTGTGTGTGTGTGTGTGTGTGTAGATAGATAGATAGATAGATAGATAGATAGATAGATAGATAGATAGATAGATAGATAGAAACAAACTCTGGAGGATTTAAATACCAAATGCTAAAAAAGGCACTTAAAACAAACCATTAAGAAGAACAAATTCATCAGCCGTGTTTTTGCCAAAGCAAATTATTTTCAAAACTAGATACATATTGAGAATATATTGTCTGGAGAATAATAAAAGTTTCCAAACACTTTGGGGGTGGGGGGTATTTTCATTTATTCTGCATTAGGGCACACAACACACCTGGAATGCAGTTCAAAGAATAAAGTAGTGCCAGAATGAAAAAGTCCAATCCAGCCAGAAAAAAATGCCTACATTCATTTCCTCATTATCCAATTGCCTTTCAAAGTAAACAACATCATGCAAGGTACAGGAAGAGAAGTAAGGAGATAAGAAAAATACATATATTTATGTTCCTTCAAAACATATTTACTTACGCTGCCATCTATATACCCCTTACCACATTGCATTTTGTTCTTTAAACCTCTTGCCAATCTCATCAACTTCATTGAATCATACTTTGCCTGTCTTTCCCTTCCTCTCATCCTATTTATGCAATCTTTACCTACTTCCTTTGTCAATTCATGCTTATTGGTATTTTCTTTATGATCAAGCCATATTCCATTTATACTGCTCATACTGCTGCTTCAATTCATATACTGTACATATACTGTACATTCTTTCTATTATCAAAGTGTCTTGATGTAATCTGGAGATGCTGCTTCAGTCAGGACACTTTCCAATCATGGTGATACTGAAAACACGGCTGATACAATACCACTTCAAACTGCAAGATAGGTGGTATATTAATTCAATAAATAAACAATAAACACAGAGAAAAAAGAGGATATAATATCCTCATTGTCAGTGCTACTAACAAAACTTAATGCATTACAAACATGTTATATATTTGTAAGATGCTTTATCTTGGTACTTTCATACTTAAGCAATCCATGTCCACTGCATATTACTCACTTTTACCTTTCTCCTGACTTAACCCATTCATTTCCATATGAAAAAATGAGCAGAATAACAAGAGTTGGAAAGGATCATGGGGGTCTTTTAATCCAACCCACTGTTCAAGTATAATCTTCTTCATCATTAATTCTCATAACTGCTATTCCTCTTAATGAAGTGCAGACAAAAAAAAATGATGGAAGGAAATAAAGTTTCAAACAATCGAATGATGAATAAATTAAAAAATATATTTTTTGCTGTACATTTAATTATATATAAGGGAAAAGTGAAGACAAAGCACTTCTTTGAAGTGCAATGGCAGCACTTGTTTACCTGAACTTTGATGCTATCTGAGTTATTAATTAGATCAGAGCTCCAATTATGATTTCTTAAAGTGGCATCGGATACCAGCAAAATCAAAATGTCTGTCAAGAATTTATGGACATTTTATTAAGCTGCTATTATAAAGTCTTGGGGCACACAAGAGCTTCTGCAATTTCATAGTGAGTACTCTAAAAGTAATCATATGAATGTTCTTAATGATAACCAGTGACTCATAGCCTGTTTTTTAAAAATATAACACAAAAGTAAAAAAAATACTTTGCTTTTGAGTTCAGTGGGGAAATTTTTATGCTTTCTGTTAAACTTTAATGGAAATATTATGAAAATTATTAGCAAGGATAAAGGTGGAACATTTAAAAAAAACTAAGAAAAGAATTACACATAATGTTAAAGCCATTTGAAAAATTAAGATGTAGGATGTAGCATCTGGAAATAATATATAAGGAGTATCTGGAATACATCCCTATTATACAGTACTGAGAAAAACAAAGTACGTTTCACTGACATTGCTCTCATCTAATATGTTATAGTTCCATCTTCAGTAATACAGTTTGGAGAGTTGGCAGTGTTCTTACATATCCACATTTGTATATGTATACATGACTATCTGTATGCATGCACAAACACCAAGGTTTACACACACACACACACACACACACACACCTACCTATATATAACAAGTCTGAGACAAATGTTAACATGCACAGAAATACAAATCATAGAATAGAATAGAATAGAATAGAATAGAATAGAATAGAATAGAATAGAATAGAATAGAATTCTTTATTGGCCAAGTGTGATTGGACACACAAGGAATTTGTCTTGGTGCAAGTACTCTCAGTGTACATAAAAGAAAAGATACATTCGAATAATAAGGTACAACACTTAATAATAGTCATAGGGTATAAGAAATCAAATCATACTAGGAAACTTCAATATAAATCGTAAGGATACAAGCGACAAAGTTACAGTCATACAATCACAAGTGGGAGGGAGGGATGATAAAGAGTGATGAAAAGGTTAATAGTAATAGTAGTGCAGACTTTGTAAATAGTTGGACAGTGTTGAGGGAATTATTTGTTTAGCAGAGTGATGGCGTTTGGGGAAAAAACTGTCCTTGTGTCTAATTGTTCTGGTGTGCAATGCTCTATAGCGTCATTTTGAGGGTAGGAGTTGAAACAGTTTATGTCCAGGATGTGAGGGGTCTATAAATACTTTCACAGCCCTCTTTTTGACTCATGCAGTATACAGGTCCTTGATGGAAGGCAGGTTGGTAATAATTGTTTTTTCTGCAGTCCTAATTACTCTTTGAAGTCTGTGTCTGTCTTGTTGGGTTGCAAAACCAAACCACACAGTTATAGAGGTGAAGATGACAGACTCAATACTTCCTCTGTAGAACTGTATCAGCAGCTACTTGGGCAGTTTGAGCTTTCTGAGTTGGTGCAGAAAGAACATTCTTTGTTGTGTTTTTTTGATGAGGTTTTTTAGGTGTCCATTTTAGGTCTTGTGATATGATAGAACCTAGAAATTTGAAGGTCTCTGTGTTGTCTAGTGTTGTAAGAGATGGTAGTATGGGGGAGTTTCTCCTAAAGTTTACCACCATTTCTATGGTTTTGAGTATATTCAGTTCCAGATTGTTCCGGTTACACCATGAGGTAAGTTGTACAACCTCTTGTCTGTATGTGGATTTGTCGTTTTCTCGAATGAGACCAAACACGGTTGTATCATCTGCAAACTTCAGTATTTTAACAGATGGATCATTTGAGATGCAGTCAGTGATATATAGGGAGAAGAGAAGTGGAGAAAGCACACAGCCTTGTGGGGCCCGCTGTGCTTATTGTACAGATATCAGATGTGATTCTGCCTAGCTTCACCTGCTGCTTCCTGTCTGTTAGGAAGCTTATGATCCACTTACAAGTATGTTCAAGTACCACTAGTGGGTTCAATTTACTTAGAAGAATGGCTGGATTGAATGTTGAACTGAAGTCTACAAAGAGATCACTTGTGTAGGTATTTGGAGATTCTAGGTGTTGTAGGATGAAATAATAATAATAAATATTAAATCACATAAATCATGCATAAATGGACATACAGATTAAGGGAAAAATATTTTTACCTGAAATTTACCTAAAAAGAAATTCATCCATCCAAATGTTAATGTAAATGTGTAAAAGTATTTATTGTGTTATATACTAGTATCAGATTTTAAAATCTACAAATCTTGTCTAAAATAATGAAATATATTACATAACCCAAATCCATTAATAAACAAATATTTATTTAATATTTATTTAAACTTTATAAAAATGTGAGAATTTAGACAATATTAGAAAAGTTATTACTTTGCAGTTGCAAACTCTTATCACATATACAGGTACTCCTTGACTTACGGCCACCATTGAATCCAACATTTCCATTGCCATGAGAGGCAGTTGCATTTGTTAAGTGAATTATACCACATTTTACTTAACAAAATTTTTGCAGCAGTTGTTAAGTAAATCATTGCATTTTTAAGTGAAATAATGCCATTAAGCAAATCTGGCTTCATCCATTGACTTTGCTTGTCAGATGCTATCTGGAAAGGTTACAAATGGTGAACACATGACCCCAGGACAGTGCAACTGTCGCCAATACAGTTTGTTAGCATTTTGATCACTTGATCCATGAGAATGCTGCAACTGTTATAAGGAGAGGTGGTATTCAACAGGTTCTGGCCAGTTCTGGAGAACCAGTAGCGGAAATTTTGAGTAGTTCGGAGAACTCTCAAATACCACTTCGGACTGGAGATTTCACAGTATCCTTCCCCTGCCACACCCACCAAGCCACGCCCACAGAACCGGTAGTTAACAAAATTGAATCCCACCACTGGTTATAAGTGTGAAATGGTCGAACGTCTATGGAAATTTTCAGTCATCCAGGTCATGATTGTCCCAAAGGTGCTTTTTCAGAAAGTAACTGGATTTTCTTGTTTTTTCTTTAAAGAGATTTTGCTTCTCATCTAAGAAGCTTCTTCAGCACTGACTGGATAGTGGGGAATATAAATATTTATATTCCTTGCAAACAGCTGGACATTTGCATTCTTTTAGAGATTTGTTGAGGACACTTGGATATTTATCTGTGTCCTCAGGGTCACCTAAGTAAATGGGTGTGGAGACTTTTTGGTAGCAGGATGTTTTCTGCCCTGTGTCCCTTCACTGTTGAAGACAGGCGCAGGCTGTTGGGGATGAGTTTGTGTTGTCTGCATCTCAAATTGAAGTGCAAATGGTTCCTGTAGTCTGCAGTTTTTTGGTAAATCTGTTTAAACTCCCACACCATTTGAAGGGTGTTCATCCCAAAGTGCATGGCTAAACATCTATGGAGATTCTCAGTCATCCAAGTCATAGCTGTCCCAAAGGTGCTTTTTCAGGAGGCAACTGGACTTTCATGTTTTTTCTTTGAAGGCGTTTCACTTCTTATCCAAGAAGCTTCTTCAGCTATTTGTGAAATTGATCATGCCACTTTTTTCAGTGCTGTTGTAACTTCATATGGTCATTACACAAATAGTTGTAAGTAGAGGACTAATTGAATTGTATAATGAGAAATAAGAAAGAGACTTAAAGACATAACGTATGTTGTGGTATGGCAATTTTGTCCTATAAAAGATCGATAGTATGAAGATGTAATGGTGACAAAATACAGACATGTTCATATTTTGAGAAAACTGCAGTAATAACACATATACTAAGCCACTACAGAACTGGATTGCCAAATTGAGAGGATCTATTCATTTTTCTTTTAGATTTCCAGGAGTTGTTCACCAATGCCTGTTAATGAGAGGTCGCCATTGTCTGTAAAAAGTATTTTGTTTCAGTGTTTTTTGTTTGTTTCCTTTTTGTTTTATTTTGTAATTGTGAAACAAGAATTATGTTAGCATACAGGTATTCATTTTGTATGTTTCACATGCTTTATATCAGACATCATTCTTGGATGGCTGGGGAAGAGGAAAAAAATATGGCAAATGTTTGTTTTTTTAATCCATAAAGGAACATCCCTGAGATATAAGAAGTGTCTTTTAAAAACTGTTGAGAAATTTTAGTCTCATTTTGAATATTTTAAAAAGATCTATTGGATTATGTCTTTGAAAAATGTATATATGTGTATATGTTCATGTCCTATAAAGATTTTTTTCATAACTTATTAAAATAATTATTGATTCTAACAACTTATTAATATGCTTATAAGAGGATAATTTTATAATGTCTTATGTGTGTATATGTGTGTATTCATTGCAGATATTTGCCACCATTATTGTGTTACTTCTGAATCTTGCATCATTGCTGATGATGGCAGTGTAGAATGTTTCTGTCCTCTACAATATGAAGGTGCAAAATGTGAAATAGACAAATGTGAAAAATGTCATGGAGGTCAATGCATCATAGACAAGAAAAATGATGACATAATGTGCAAGTAAGTTAAAGCTGTGATAAATCATGTAATTGAATAGCCAGAAATGTATTCTTTCAATATATTTGTAAATATTGGGCAAGCCAATATTATTGTTGATAGATCAAGTCTGCCTTATCTGCAACTACAGTAAGCTTAGCAGATATGAATTAAAATATGATTTTAAAATATAAAATGAACTATTATTCAGGCTTGTATAGAAATGAAAATTAGGCTACCATGTAAGAAGTACTCCAGCAAAAAGAAATATTTTTATATCCGTTAAAATCAAAATTTATTACATGTGTATAATTAATTTAGTAGATTTTAATTAAACCAGATAGGGAATTTTGAGTGTTCTCTGAATAGTATACCTTAATGTACAATTTGCAGTAGCCATCTGCTCTGTTATAAAAATATGTGCATAGATGTATTATTGTGGGAAAGTATTTTAATTATACATTTTCCATATTGTAAATGTCCCATAGTAATTAATTTATAGATTAAAATATTTATGTTTTGCCTTTCATGAAAAATTAATTAAAATATATACTGTATATTGTAGTTTTAACTGAATGAAAAACTAAAAGGGTAGAGAAAATCAAAATGATAGTTCCAAACACACATTTATACAAGAGCATTATTTAAAATGTAGTGCAATTTGCTCCTTGAATTTGTTAAGTAATCTACCAGGAATTAAAATTTAATGTCATTTTTAGAAATTCATGTTACTATCACATTTGTATCAATAAAACTGAAAAGCGAAATATTACTTCCAATTTTAGAAGAATTATTGGCCCCTTACTAGCTATTATAGAATACATAAAGATCACATCACAGCTATTATAGAATACATAAAGATCACATCTGCTGGATAGTATATTTTTCATTATTTTTTCTTTTTTTTAAGTTATTTTCTTTTACCAACAAGAATAAAACACAATACAGAAAAATAGAAAAACAAACAACCAACACTAACAATAAGGAAAAAAATGTACAAAGAAAAAAAGAAAAAATTAAATGTCAAATATTAACATTAAACACAAACATTATCATTAAACATAAACATAAAAATTAAATATAAAAAATACACTACGGCTAGATCTGAAAAGTAAATTTAAAAACCTGATAGCTTTCCTATCCTTATTTAACAAAACTACTGTATTAAATAAACAAATACTCCAGATGAGAAAGTCTCTGTCCAATAATCAAGTTTCCCAACATCTAATCATAATATATAAGTAAAACAAGAAAAAAAGACCAGTCAACATGTTAGCCCATTAATCATCAGATATCTCTGCTATTGTATTTAATATATAGAAAGTCCACAAAATAACTTCCAGTCTCTTATAAAGTTATCTCGTCCAGGGCTCCTCAACCCCCAGTCCGTGGCCTAGTACCAGGCTACAACCCATTCAAAACCAGGCCATGGAAGTGGGTGAGCAGATACATGCACATACATGTCCAAAGCTGCATTTGTAAAAGTGCACATGCATGCAAAATCATCCCTTTCTCCCTCCCAATCTCCACCCCAATCCCATCCCAACAGTCAACAATTGGCATCTCTTTTCATTTCCAATGTTTAGCAAGTACAATCCTCACAGCAGCACCATTTAAAAAAATAGTGCCCCAAGCTCTTTTTCGATTGGTTTATCCATAATACCTAAAAGAAAAGCTTCAGGTTCCATTTATATTTTCAATATTTTCTTCATTATCTCTTTCTTTAGCATCCTATAAAAGCTTATATTTAATTCTTGTTTTTTTGTTTTTGTTTTTTTCAAATAAATTTAGTTATACGGTATCTTTCTGACACTGTTTAGAAGAAAAATATTTAATCAATATCAGTGTTGTCTGGAATAGAAGTAACATTCTTTCCATCAATAACAAATCTAGTTTTTCTCATCTGTTTAAATATGACTTTATCTCCTTCCATATTTTAACATAATTATTTTTATAAAGCTTAGAATTTTCATCAGTAAGAATTAGCCCCAAGTACTGTATCTTTTTCACAACTTTAAGACCAGTTTTAATTTCCAATTTCTTCTGGTCTTCCACGTTCATATTCTTGGTAAGTATCTTTATTTTAAGACCACATTTTAAAAAATATTTTAATCTTCCTCACAACATATTCAATATTTTGTAGTGGGTTTTCCCACAATCAATTATTTTCATTACTTCTGCGTTATTAAACTGTTACTGGGGCATGGCCACAGCAAAGCATAAAAACAAAGAAACAGAGATGGAAATCATTCATATTTCTACTCCCTTGATAATAATGTTATTAGTGAGATAAAGATCTTGTGTTGTATAAATACACATGCCTTTAAGTTGTCATGATATTAAAAGTAAGTAAAGCTATTGTTTCTGGTCACTAGAATCACTCATCTAGTACTAAATAACAAAATTGTCAACATCTATTATAACAACTACGCCCTAAGTCAAGGTCTCTGATCTTGCTGCATAGTTTGTTGAACATACCAAACATATAATTGATTGAGTAACCATGCTAAGTTAAGCTGAGCAGCCTGTAATAGCTTTCTTCATTAACCAAGGAAAGTAATTTAACATACTATTAAAAAAATAGAATGATGAATGGGGTATTCATCAGCACTGGCATAGTTAACAGTGACATGTTTTCCTCCTACAAATCATAGCTGCACAAATGGAAAAATTGCATCCAGCTGCCAATTATGTGATGGCTATTGCTACAATGGTGCAACCTGCCAGTTGGATATAGAGACAAATATACCTGTCTGTCTGTGAGTATCATGAAATAATTTGGGCATCTTTATATCCACATGATTCCTAATGCCACTTTGCCAAAGTAATTTCTTCTTTCAGAGTGATACCATGATAATGAAAATTTGCTCCAGATTTGGCTTTGGTTTTGACAATTGTCAATGGCAAGGACAGGAGAATGGCACCCCCTAACTACATGATACTATTTCTATGTTATCTATTTTAATTATTATATAGATTGCATTACTTAGAGATATAGACATATTATCTGTTGTTCAAAGACAAATATATTGTTATGAATATATTTATAAATAAAACTTGTAATGTTGCGGAAATAGTATTGTACTAAGGAAGCCTTTAAAATCAAAATTTTAAATTAATTCTTAAATCATAGTTATCCATATGATGTGACCTTTTAATATGTATGTATATTGCAATTGTGTTATGGTAACTATAAAGGTACATTTCACTCTTGTAACTGGCTCTATATGAAATAAGTCTAAACTGAGTATCCTAATTTTAATGTATGTGAAACATTTCAATGTAATTGTCCTTAAAGTGCTCATTAAAAGAATCCATAATCGTTCTGTTATAAGAAAAGATTGTCAGATATTTGGATGTAATGATATTCTTCCAAATACATCATTGCTGGGTGATGAATAAAAAATGTGTTTATTTATTACAAATTATTGGAGAAAAAAGGAATGCAACATGTGTTTCCATGAGAATAGATTATATTTGGGCAGGATCATAATTCTAATATGGGTACAGAGACTGCATATAGAATTATGAGCTTCTGTCCTTTGTCTTGGATAATAACCTGATACATTGGGGTACTATTATGTATGGAATGTCAGTGTATTCAACTGGTGCAAAACTTGAATTAATTCAGAATTTAGGTAACATTCAGCCAGGGGTATTTGAAGGTTAGAGGTAGTCTTTAATCTCTCTTGGCCAGCAATTATCAGGCACTACATAGTGCCTGCCTTTGTATCTTGCTCTCTACCACAATAGAAGAAAGATCAAATTGATCCTGTTGAATTCTGTGCCAGTTCTATGTTTGACAGGATTGCACCCACATTAGCTTGGTTTTCTAAGCTGTCAGTAAGATTTAATGAAACTAATAGTTTGGACTTACCATGATCAGGTGGAGCATATTTGCTTATTGTTCATTTTATCAGCTATGTATTTGCATTTAAAAGATATCAGCAAAAAACAAAGGGAGAATATTTATTTATTTAGCTGTATTTTACTGAAATTCTGCAGATGCTCTGTGGGGTTTAAAAATCAGCGCTGTGACCAGAAAGTGAACCCTTGTGATTACTACTGTCAGAATGAGGGAATTTGCACTTTAACTGCGTTTAATGAACCGAGATGCAAGTAGGTTTAACCTTCCACTTAATGCTGCACATTTTGTGACATCATTTCAGGCCACAGTTCATTGGTTCAGATCATATACATCCATATCATCTTGCAACTTTTTCTTAACCTCAGGGTTCATTTGTGTAATTTAATGTAGTTGTTTGAAAATTTGTTAATGACTATATTAAAAAGTACAACATTGGATGTAACACTGCCTTATTATTAAGCCAAAACTTTATGCTACTATATAATGAAAGAATATGACATCAGGATGTTTAGAAAATAACCCTGTCTTTAAATAGAACAATGTTTATAAAAAAAGGCAAATTATACACAAATTCATCATATGCTATTCTATTCTAGTTAATAGAACAAGTAGACAATTTGTCAGCTGTTGAAGTGATAAATATCTTTGTGACAATAATAAGAAAATAATTTTAAAAAGCAATTACTACAATAACAGCAAATTAGCCAAGCTATCTTAATCTTTTCATTACCTAGAATTTATTTACCATTGTATGTATGTTTCAGAAAGAAATAGGTTTCCCAGATCAGTGTTCCTCAAGAAATAAACTACATCTGTCTTGATTAATTTTCCGTTGTTTTTAAAATCATAGCTTCAGGTTAGATGAATAAAATTCATACTTAGTTTTTTTTCTGACAGAGCATAGTCTCATAGAGAATTCACATTCTATTGAGTTTAAGCTTACTTAACTATACATTAGCTTTTTGCTAATAAATATAAGTGAGAGATGATTCTAAGTTCATGACATCAGAATTATTCCTGTATTGGGCTCTAGATTGGTTGTCTAACTGAAAGCTGACCTCTGTTCAGATTGTTAAGTTTTCTTCTTGATATCAGCATAAAAATTTATATCTGTTTATGCCAACCCACCTTTTTGCTATCTTTAAAATGTGACAGATATTATATGCAAAAACTGTTGCACAGAATCATATTCCATGTAATGTGAATTGATCCATTATCAGTTTTCAAATATATCATTACTTTTACCACCAGTCAGTCTTAGATATGTTCACTTTTTCTTGTCATCCTTCTATATTTCCTAACTTTTCTATTTTCTAGTCTTAACTATTCTATTGTTCTTCCTTTTCAACTTTGCATATTGTCATTTAATTGAAAAAAATGGAAGAATATATTTTAAGATTTAAAGTTAAAATTATTCAAAGTATCTTTTAGGGTCTGGGTGAGCAATGTAAACTATAATGCAATCTATATTTCATTTAATACAAATATAATTCTTCATTAAATAATAATAAAATATGACCTCTCTGGCAAATCTCACTGTTATAATTGCTATGAATGTAATCCATTATTATATTTATACCAAAATGTACCAGAATTTGTATCAGAATTTGTATCAGAATTTTTCAGTGTATGTATTCTATTTTATTTTTTGTGTGAGGATGAAAGCTAGAAAAAAACACAAAAAATAACCTTTTCCATTATAATGGATAAATAATTTCCATTATTATATCATATATATACATGGAAATAATAATATAAGACTTGTACTATTTCTCTCTTTTTATCATTTATTTATTTATTTATTTATTATTATCTAACTTTTCTACCATTAAAACAATCCAAAATAAAATAAATATAATTTAAAAACAATTTTAAACAATACATTTAAGTATGTAGTAACGTTGGAAATATGGTATCATCACCCAAGGACTGACAAAATATATTTGTGATTGATACCATAAAACTTACAATTGAACTGTAATTTTATATATTTGTAACATAAGGTTACAATAGTTAATAATTTTATTTATATTTTATGGTTATGATTTCTAGCATATAGAGAATTTTCTGTTCTGAGGTAACACAAAATACTTAAGATATAAACCATTTGATTGAAAGGGAGTGTAAAACACCAATCCCTCCCCAATTTTATTGAAATTACTGTAGTGATAAAATACATATCAGAAATAATTTAATTTGTTCAGGTTCAAGCTTACAGTTATAATTTACTGTTTCTAATTTATATAAATGCAAACAAGGCTCTTTCCCCTTTTGGTAAGACATGATTTTATAAATACAATTGAGAACATTTTTAACTCCAAATCTAAGCATATGGGGTTATGCAATTTTTTATCTTTACCGATCATTCATACTTCTAGAGCTATTACAGGTTTGCAGATATTAGTTGCAAGATTTTCTGCTTTTCTAATTAAATCAGATAAAGTGACAGGTGGTCTTGTTCTAACTAGTAACTCTTCGACTTTTCTTCAACCTTTTTGAGTGCTGTCTATGATCAGTAAATAAAATCTCATTCCTATCCTCTTCTTCAGTACTCTTCCCTTGAATCACATACTTAAGTGCTTTATGGACTTCGGACCATTCATAAACTAAGCCTTTTTAAGATCATTAGCCAAAATAAGAGTTCCATGTTAGCCACTTAAGTTGCCAGTCATTTCCCAAAAACATTTCCCACAGTCTTTCCATGTTTCTCTAAAAATCCTCCTTTTCCTTTCTCTATCTCCTTTCTTTTCCTTTCGGGTTTTTCTGTGCCTAAGGGGCCTCAATGACTCTCAGAGAGCTAATGACCCACCTTCAAAGTGCTAACAACCAAATGATTGCAAGACATATAAATCCTTCCATTCCCCAGCATTCAGTGAGAACTGAGGATACTTCTTGGATGAAAAGCTAAACATCTTCAAGAAAGTTACCTTTTGAAAAGCACCTTTGGGGCAACCATGATCTGGATGACTGAGAATCTCCATACTTATCCTATATTCCATATAGGAATAGAGATGAAATCCTGATTATTTCTAATCCTGCAGCACCATGCAGAATGTCCTTTCCATGCACATTATGGGGCAGAAATCCTTTGGTAGGTTGCAGGAACATTTAAAAGTGAAAGGCCTGCTTGCTGGAGGATGTCAGCAGGAAGCACTTTTATTCTTTCTGCCTAATGATCTGCAACCAAGAGTCCTAGAATTGCAATCATTGAATAATGCAGTAACATGCTCAATGATTAAGATTTTGGTCCCAATTATGGTAATTAAGCAAGGGGGACTACTACTTGTATGCAGCGAGCCCATGAGAGCCCATGACTGAGTGCAGGCTTATTACATGGATGTTATAAGGGGATTTTACCAGTTTACATTCTAGGAGCATGCAGTTAAATATACATTAATAGAATTGTATCATTTTTGAAACAAGTTTGTTCTCTCTTAATATGATTAAATGAGTTTATTACTGTGTCTCATTTTTTCTGTGTTTCTTTTCTTTTGTAGGATATGTAGAATAGTATTTGCTAGTTACATTCACTATTAGATAAAATTGTATACTTTCAGAGTTTGAATTTATCTGGATACCTGAATGACCAAGATAGTTCAGTACATACAGAAACTTAGTATGTCTCTCTTTCTCTTTTCCTGTATAATATGATCATCATCATCAGTCAGCTCATTTCATTAAGTCCTATGCCATTCCATGCTAAAGTAATCAACTTTACTAATGTGAAAAAGATAAGGAAAAATAAATAATGGTCAAGCAATATAAAACTATATAATGTATTTTAGCACACATTCCTATATATGTCAATCTGTAAATTATCCCATGAATTTAACACAATTGATTTCCATATAAGCCTATATAACAATGCAGCTTATTCATGAGTAATGCACC